AGCGCACCTCTTGGTCAAATTTCTACTATATTCCACCTTATACTTCAACATTTCTGTCAAGGGGGTCGTAATCTTACAGTAGGATTTTAAGAAAATTCCTCACCCGCTTCCGTGGAACTCATATGACTTCTCAATCATGTCCCATGCTTTTTTTTGACATTTCAATCAAATCCACCATACAATTTTGATCTTTACTTGAGAAATCCATTAGTAGGCTGTCACATTCAATATGATTAACTTTTTTCAATAGAAAGCACAGGGTCGCAGTCGGAATAGAAAAAGGGGCGGAGCCATGGGCAAAAGAGCTCGATCCGAGCAAAGTGGGCGGAGCTCAGAATGAAAGTATGTAAACGTCTAGGCTGTTCACTATATTTAATATAAGTCTCAGTGCGCCTGAGATTTTTTTGGGAGCCCCCCCCCCCTCCCATTTCCCTGAACATCTGAAATAAAGACCTGATTAGTTTTGTGAATTACTTTGCTGTGAAAGGTAGTGAGTTCAAAATATTAGAATGTATCATAATTTTTAGAACCGTGAGAATCTCTATTAATGAATGAATCAAAATTTTTAAAATTGTTTAAGAGTTGAATCTTATGTTACCGTTCATCAGATTTTCTTGAAAGTTGTGGTCTAGGTGGGTTTCTGTTTACGGTAGCAGCACTAGATTCAGCAACAATCATGTAATTCATCAGTTGCTTATTGTGTCATTTCTGAAACAAAAAACTCCTGACTATACAATTTTTTACTCCAGATTCTTAAGAAGCTGAGGGTTCGGTTGTCACCTTTCAATCCAAATGAGCTTCCCGAATAAAAATAACAGAGTTTTTGTTTTATTCGGGAAGGCCGTTTCCGGAGCCGTTGACATGGAAACTGAATCCATGGCGGCCACGGGGACTCAAAATTTTCCCTCTTATTTGATTTTTCGTTCAACTAAAAATAAGTAGTATCAGATGTTTAATATTCAGGTGCCCCAATCTGGACTAGTCTAAATGAATATTCCAGGGTAGCTTCTAGCCATTTTCAGTATCTCTGATTTGTAAATATCTCATGTTTTATAATATACTGTTTGCATTCAATTTCCTATTTGTATTCTTTTTCAGAGCATCCAATTCAAATTTGCAGCCTCATTCTCTGAAACTGATTTTTCTTTCTTTCTCATTAGCATTATCCTTTGAAACTCAAGAAGTCCTTCTTTCTTTTTGCTGAAATTTGGCACGTTTATGTTTTCCTCAGCCACACCCAAATCCTGATCCTTCCTTTCTCTCGGAACCAAATCCGGTGATGTCGACAGCTCTCTTGCACTCATCGTCTCTCATTAGTGCACAATGTTTTTGTATAAAGCTTCTAAAGCTGGCCACAGCGGTTGTCCGGCGTCGCCCGCCCTTTGGCGCGACGTCGTCCTGTTCTAGGAAGCCGACAAGTGTGTGAGTGCGTGTGTGCCCCTCGTAATCTGCACAGCGCTCGTCGCGCCACAAGGAAAATGCGTGTGTTCTCCTAATTCGCCACATGCTGCGTTTTTCCAAACACAGATAAGGCGAAAAAAGATTAAAAAGGGCGGTCACACTTTTTTCTGGCGATTCTTGATACTTGGATGACCCGTGGGTAAAAAGAAAGATCGAGAAAAAGATACCTACGCGAAACTGTTGCAATAGTACCGTCGTTGGAATTTCGTCGCGCAAACTGGAAGCGTAGTTTTCTTAGGTCGTAAACAACCCTAATTGATTGCAATCCTAAATCGTTTAGACGTAACGGTTTTTGACCATGCAGATGAGATAAGACTCGACAGGTATAAATGGTGGCAAATATTGAGAAAAAAGGGACCAACAGTTGTCTATCTGTGGGACTCTGGACCAAAGAGCAGTCGTTCTTCGAATGAAAGGAAGATAAGGAAGTATCAAATAGGTATTATTAGATAATTCTATAGCAAATTAGAAGTCGCTAGGAGCTCAAACGTTATCCATCACTTCCCACCTATGTGACCCCACCGAAAAAAACTTTCTTACATGTAGCACGACCAGCTCAATAAGTCTAGCAGGCATAAATCTTTGCATTCAACTACGATCTTTAAGTATGACGTATACCTTTGAACAATTTTATTGCAATTGTATAAGCGGCCGCGGCGCCCAGAGGACAAAATTTTTTCGTAATAGGCGCGTCGCATAGTTTTGCAACAAACAAACGAATTAGTGCGGAGATAAGGGAGGAGGTCGAAAAAGGAACCGCTACCGTATTTCTTCTGCCTGATGTTTGAGTGGTCAATCAACAATTAAAAAGAACTAATTGAGAAACGGAAGTTTTACGTTAATAACGTGAAATATTCGACATTTTCTGTTGTAAACAAATAACGTAAAAGGTAGTAAATGACAATAACGCCACCCTGACTGAACGACCTTCAAAACTGAACTGGTGTGATCTGATAAGTGACCAGAAATGATCGAAAATTCAACACGAAAATTGGAGGGACCAACGGCTTTTTCCGGGAAGAACTGCTTTAAAGTGGAACCGGCGATCCCAACAAACTGAAAACTATAGACTGGTGGGTTCATAGCGCCTCGGGTCTTTAGGACCGGCGATCCCGCTTTGGGACCATTCTTCCCAGAAAGAGCCCCAACTTCCTTTCGAAGAATTTGGATCAGAACACAGGAAACTCGAGTCATTTGTGAATTTTTCCGTTTGGAACGCAGCCAATCCGTGCTGAATAGGCTCGGGATTTATTGCCACATGATCACATGGATATCTAAGCTTACACAAAGCAAAACTTTAAATGATATTTTTTATCTTCGTTGTAAAAGAATCAGAAAGTGTTCAATTGACAAAATTCTTCGGACGTTTTAATGAGCATTTTGTCCGTTCCATAAGATATACAAAAACATATTTTTAGTTGTTTTTGACCATCTTGATCATTTTTAGGAGTCTGGAACTCGTCTGTCAAGTTTCCAATCATTTTGAAAACTTTGGAGGGTACGTTCAGATTTAAAGTTTTGATTCACACATATTTTTTGAAAATTTCTAGTTATTCACCTTCTTGCATATCTTTGAAAGACCTCTGTTTTTTCACGTTTTCACTCCAAAAACAGACCAGAAGATTCTCTTTCAGAATTGTCAAATAGCTGAAAAACTAGGAATATTCTAATATTTCTGTGAATGCTAAGTTTTCAGTCGATGTCCGTTTCACACTCTACAAAGTTTTTAGCGTGATTGGAAACTTGACAGCCAACTCTTCAAAAATATCAAAATGCCAGCAAACCGACCGAAAATTTAGGTTTTGTTCACTTCACTGACCGTTACTGTATGTATTTCCCATTCTAAGTTTTTGAAAAAAATGGTACTTTTAAAACGAACCAGGGAGATGACAAACCAAAAAGTATGCCCTTAACATCAAAACACAAATTTCTCAAGAGTCATTCATCTTAATATCTCAATATCCGTAAACAGATTTTGCAAGTATATACTTGCAAGTAGACACAAGAAGGCTAAACTGGTTTCATACCTCCCATGATATCCAATTTTCATTGATAGCGTTAGTGATAACCATCACCAAACTTTTTTCTATTGCGACGTATATTAGATTTATCGTTCTAAATTTTGGTTATTTTTGAAATGAGAAATGTCTGCGTCATTTCTCGCGAGTTCTTCTTCAGAATAGTCCAATAAATACTGAATTGATCGCTATAATATTGCTCCAATGAAACGTCCTAAATTATGCGGCACTTTCCCACCAAGCTTTTCCAGAGACATGTGCCAAGTAGTCTGCAACGCGTGAGACTGGTCAAAAAACAAAAAAGAAGAAGCGGCAAAAAAAGAAGTGGCAAAGTCTAGATGAGTGTGACTAGACTTTGAGAGCTGAAGTTGTCTGTTCTCCATGTCTAGTTCTAGATTCTTGTCTAGCCGTCAAACTACAGCTGTTTTTTCTTTTTCATAGAAAACCGAGAAAAACATTCCTTATGTTGAACCGCCGGGATGCCTAATCCTAATGTCATTATAACATTTCTCTTCTTGACAAATTAAAAATAGTTATGTTTTCTATCTAATTTATCGCGTCTGTTATCAAGTTTTTGAATCTCCGGAAAAAAAACCGTTTTGTTACTTGTTTTTAAGTTTCTACCTGTACCGAAAATTGGCAGTGGCAAGTACCGAGTCATCAATAGTACTTCATGAATTATCTTTGAAAAATAATCCCACTCGTACTGTGACTGGATTGTTTTCAACACATTTTCCCAACAAAAAATCTCACGTTCAATCGACACCTTCCCTCTATTCATCTCAAATTCTAACTTAATCCTAATCAGATTTATTTTCTTTTCAAAAAAAATTTCATTTGTCTCGCGTCACAGCGAAAAAGGTTAAGTTTCCATCCTCATTCTCTTCTATGAACTATTTAACCCTTTTCTTTGCCTCCCAGAACTCCCAACCCCTATTTTTTCTTCTAAATTTTACAGATATCATTTCTCAGAACTGGGGCAGTTTTCTGTGAATTTTAAATTGCCGAAAAACACGTTTGCTGTTGTGATCAGAAGTCGTCTGGACGTACGTCAAGTGCTTGTGAGTTCAATTCTAACAGAGATCCCAAAGATCATAAATCTATTACAACAAGAGATTAAATTTCATTGAAATTAGTACAAGCACCAATAGGTTGGAACAGGGAGAGGCTAATGTTTTGTTCTGGTGTCGGTAGATGATCAGCTACCATATTCTTAACCTCAACACGACTTCAGTGAATACATTCATTCAGGGGTAGCCTGGTGAAAAATAGATACGTGAGTAGCGGGAAATGACCTCGGTTACATGATAAGATGTTGTTAAATAGTAAGTCTTATCAGCAAGAGTGGGGCGTGGGCAATAGACTTTTTGATGATCGGGTAGTTTTTTCCTTTAAAGCTCATATGAGACACGTTTCCGTTAGAAATGATTTGATTGATTAATCTAAGCAAGATTTCATGTGTTCGCAACAATCAAAGCTCTTTACAAAATTCCCAGAATATGCCTTTTCAGATTCGAAACGATGTTGAGCGATTCAACTAAGTCGTCCGATTTCACGATGTCTACCGACTCGACGATGTCGACCGATTCAACGATGTCGACCGATTCAGCATTCGCTTCCGAGCAATTCGGCGACGAGCACGAGAATCAAGCTAAGAAATCAGACATTACAGTCAAGCACGCAAATGTATTCTCTTCATTCACACCTGGAATGTCATTGTGTGAGCTTCTTGAAAAAACCGAAATTCAGGACAGAAACGAGAGAGTTCTCAAAGTGAGATTTGATATATTTATATCAATCACGTAAATTTTTTCAGGAAATCGTCGAAGAACTAAAAGCTCTTCCAGAGGATGCTGAACCAGTTGATGTCGATTTCATCAGAGAATGGATTCCGTCCAGAAAGTTGGCCGGAGAAGAAATGGAGAGCGAGAACTTTTCTGCTATTTTCGTTCATCCAACTTCTGACTCCGAAATCGCAAACAAAATCGGTGGGAGACAATTCAATGAGTGCTTCAAAACTCGCACCTACATTAACAACACAAAGTTGAACCCATTTTTGTTGGGAAAAAACTTTGCCGCTGCTCATCAAAGAGAGATCTGCCAAAACAGAACCGTAAGTGAAGAAAATCCGAAAATTGTATCAAGTTATTATTTTTTAGACTGGATTATTCGATGGATGGAAAGACGATCTGCTGGTCAAGTTTGATGAAAAAGTGAAATCCAGACCAGTTCTGAAAGAAACCGGTGAAGTTTTGCTTGGCGCCCCACCAGCTGACCTTTTGATGGAAGCAATCGACATTGAACATGCCCCGGCACCTGAAATCATCGCTCTGCTCAATCATAATTTAAAATCCACAGGACTCCAAGTAGACGATCTTCGCTGTCGTTCTGAGGAAATCCTGGCTCAAATTGTGAGTGCGAAAAAAAACCGTATTTTCTCTATTTGAAGCCCATCTTTAATAGCCATGACTGTGCACTTAGTCTTCTCGGGTAATAACGACATTTTTTTTCAAGTTTTCTGGTAGCTTCCATATTTCCAGTATTTTTTTTCCAATTTCTCTTTAGTTGGGAACCGAAACTTTCTAATTAGATTCATTTCTCTAATAGTCTACTCAAAAAATCAAATTTGAAGCCGATGGAGTTCTATTAGAGAAAAGACGATAGTTTGAAGAAAAGTCAATAAACCGTCAATTTAGCCACGAGAGCTGTCGGAGGAAATTATCATTGACGAGATGACCCAAGCGGTGAGCACTAATAAAACTCAAATCATATTTTATTGATTCCTAATTTCAGATAAAGAAATCAGCGGCGGCACTCCTTCATATTAGCAACTGTGCCAAACATTTTGCCGTCTACGTCTTTTTCTTGGAGTGAGTGCAAATAGTTTTTTGATTTTGAGGTAGTTCCTGTTTTCAGAAGCGCACCATACCGTTTCTACCAAGCTGTGGTGTCCTTGTCTAACCCAGCTCCATGGAGCTTTGGACTACTGTCGTTCTTCACAAACTGGGCCAAGTATGCAAAACATCGCAAGGAGATTGGTTCCCTCACCTACGAGCCTATCGATGACGAAAGCAAGAACTACGCTACCATGAAGAACGATTTGCATGACTTCATAACTAAAGCCACCATTCAAATTATGACTTCTAGCTGTCATGCATCGCTACAAGGAATTGTTGCTGAGAAACTGTTGGAGAACTACTAATTTCTGTTTACCTACTCCTTGTTTTTTATTCCAATGTGTTTTTCTCACCCAAACACTATGCACATAAGAATCTGCAGTTCAAAAAATCAGTTAGAATTTTTTTTCTTTTTTCAAGTAACAACAGTGATGTCCGTCTTATCTGAAGCACTTTTTCTCCCAATGAACTTTGCATGCAGTTCTTTCCTTTTCTTTTTTTTCAAATCTCGTTTCTTTTTTTCCGTTTTCATGATTGTAAAATACAAAAACTAGCAATTTCTTTGAAAGTTCCAGTTTCTGTCAAACTCTGCTAACAATCAAGCAATTGGAAACTGTCTTCTTCAGTATTTCCAATGCCACAAAGTTCAAAAAATGTTTTTTGCTTCCTGCACCTACAAAACCTGTTTGTTTTCCGTACTTCTTCTCTGACCCCCCCCCCCCACCGAGTCCTCTCAACGTCCCAAAATTATTCACTTTAGAATCGCTCACAACACTTCTACTTCTTATGTTCCTCCATTCGACGCATGTTCTCAACGACCCTTCCGATTTGTTTGTTCCAATTTCCGACATCTGTCAGAAATAGCAACGCGGATTGATGAAACTTCTTTATCCTACTGTTTTCTCCTAAATAAGTACTTTGCATGCAGTTCTTATATTTCTTCTTTCGAAAATGATTTTTTTTCCTTAGTTTAGACTCCGAACCGTTCAAACCTTCTAACTATGACCCTACCAAGCTGAATGCACTTTGAATCCTAAGTTACTTCTCTGCACCTCTCTAAAATCAAATTGCTAGCTTTCCCTCCCATTTTTTGTCTTCCGCATAATTTTCTATTTACACAAAAACGTTCGAAAACATTTGTATTCCCTGCACCAAAATTACAAAAAAATCCTGAAAAACATTATAACTCTAACTTCATTTTTTTTCCAAGGTCCTCCGAACCTCTCAAAATTGTTCACTACATCATTTCCCTTCACACTTCTACTTCTTATGTTCCGTTATCCGACCCACGTTCTCAATGAAACTTCTCAGTCTTCATTGAATTTTATGCACAGTAAATTGTATTCTTTCCCTGAATCAGTCTCAAAATCGTTCCCAAACTTAAATTTGCTCGCTTTCATTCGTCTTGTGCGTCATTTTCGTTTCCACACAAACGTTGAAAACTTATTTCTGTTTCATGCACTCGCAAAATCACAAACAAACAAAAACTAAAAAAAACCAAAAAAAAAGTTAAATCTATATTTTCTTACTGCTCTCCCAAAGTCCTGTGAGCCTTTTAACATTGTTCACTACATCATTTTCCTCCACACTTCTACTTTTTATGTACTTCCCCCACCCGACCCATGTTCTCAACGTCCGTTTTCAGTCTCCATTGACTTCTACTCACAGAAAATTGATTGCCTTTCCTGAGATTTGTCTTCACATTGCTTCCACTGTCTAACTGTGACCTTACAGAGCTAAAACTGCAATTTGATACCTTGTTCACTCTCCTGAACCTTTGAAAAATCAAACTGTCTCCTTTCATTTTTCTTTTTTTGATTCCCACAGATCCTACTGAAATTCCCCTTGTCTTGATATTTGAAAATAACTGATAATGCACTGTGAGAACATTCACAAAATCTAATAGAATCTGAATTTAAACTTCCGGCCCTTAAAAACAATGCATCAAGCCCTGTTTTCTCTCCTTTATTGTTGGAATTTCTGTATGTTCTCGAGACTTTTAAGAAATTAACGCACCAGTATGTGTTTGAAACGTTTGTAATATGACGCCTCGATGTTTTGAAATCAGTTGTTCTCTTTTTTTTTCACCGGCCGTTTTTTTACAATAAATGTGCACTATCCCAAAAGTTAGCAAAGTGAACTCATTTGTTAGTTGTTCGGGATCAGCCATAGAGTTCACAGGCTTTCATAGCTCAATATAACTCTTTTCATTCAAAAAATTGCTTAAAGGTGGGGGGACAGGAGATTTTACGGGGGATTTTTGGGGCCAGAGTATGCATTCTACCGTGACGGTGTACAACGCTTAATGTCACTCTGCGTACAGCTGTCGTCCTCGCCTTTATGTATGCAATCGGGTGACCGCTTCCTCTTTGCCCGTGTAGCTCAGTCGGTAGCGGCGCCGCACCCTCAATCCTCGTCCCACACGTTCAACTCCTCGAGAGGCATATTTAAACGAAATTTTGAGAACATTATTTTTTCATGTCCCCCCACCTTTAAAACGATGTGTTCATCAAGTGCATCAAATGGGAAACTCGTCGAGGTCTCGAGCTTCCACGTTCCAATATTTGCCATTTTGGTCAGAAATTGGCTCAGAAATCGGCTGGAGCAATGTGTCAACTGGGTGTAACAGAAGGAAAACTCGCCAACATAGTTTTGGAACTTGCACGTTCCAATATTTGCCATTTTGGTCAGAAATTGGCTCAGAAATCGGCTGGAGCAATGTTTCAACTGGGATGAAGACTCGCCGACGTAATTCTGGAACTTGCACGTTCCAATATTATCCATTTTGGTCAGAAATTGGCTCAGAAATCGGCTGGAACAATGTGTCAACAGGCTCTAACAGAAGGAAGACTCGCCGACGTAGTTCCCAAGCTTCCCCGTTCAAAGATTATCCATTTTGGTCAGATATTTGGCTCAGAAATCGGCTGGAGCGATGTTTCAACGAGCTATAACAGAATGAAGACTCGCCGACGTAATTCTGGAACTTGCACGTTCCAATATTTGCCATTTTGGTCAGAAATTGGCTCAGAAATCGGCTGGAGCAATGTTTCAACTGGGTGTAACAGAAGGAAGACTCGCCGACGTAATTCTGGAACTTGCACGTTCCAATATTATCCATTTTGGTCAGAAATTGGCTCAGAAATCGGCTGGAACAATGTGTCAACAGGCTCTAACAGAAGGAAGACTCGCCGACGTAGTTCCCAAGCTTCCCCGTTCAAAGATTATCCATTTTGGTCAGAAATTGGCTCAGAAATCGGCTGGAGCAATGTTTCAACTGGGTGTAACAGAAGGAAGACTCGCCAACATAGTTTTGGAACTTGCACGTTCCAATATTTGCCATTTTGGTCAGAAATTGGCTCAGAAATCGGCTGGAACAATGTTTCAACGGGCTTTAACAGAAGGAAGATTCGCCGACGTAATTCTGGAACTTGCACGTTCCAATATTATCCATTTTGGTCAGAAATTGGCTCAGAAATCGGCTGGAACAATGTGTCAACAGGCTCTAACAGAAGGAAGACTCGCCGACGTAATTCCCAAGCTTCCCCGTTCAAAGATTATCCATTTTGGTCAGAAATTGGCTCAGAAATCGGCTGGAGCAATGTGTCAACTGGGTATAACAGAAGGAAGACTCGCCAACATAGTTTTGGAACTTGCACGTTCCAATATTTGCCATTTTGGTCAGAAATTGGCTCAGAAATCGGCTGGAACAATGTGTCAACAGGCTCTAACAGAAGGAAGACTCGCCGACGTAATTCTGGAACTTGCACGTTCCAATATTATCCATTTTGGTCAGAAATTGGCTCAGAAATCGGCTGGAACAATGTGTCAACAGGCTCTAACAGAAGGAAGACTCGCCGACGTAATTCCCAAGCTTCCCCGTTCAAAGATTATCCATTTTGGTCAGAAATTGGCTCAGAAATCGGCTGGAGCAATGTGTCAACTGGGTATAACAGAAGGAAGACTCGCCAACATAGTTTTGGAACTTGCACGTTCCAATATTTGCCATTTTGGTCAGAAATTGGCTCAGAAATCGGCTGGAACAATGTTTCAACGGGCTTTAACAGAAGGAAGATTCGCCGACGTAATTCTGGAACTTGCACGTTCCAATATTATCCATTTTGGTCAGAAATTGGCTCAGAAATCGGCTGGAACAATGTGTCAACAGGCTCTAACAGAAGGAAGACTCGCCGACGTAATTCCCAAGCTTCCCCGTTCAAAGATTATCCATTTTGGTCAGAAATTGGCTCAGAAATCGGCTGGAGCAATGTGTCAACTGGGTATAACAGAAGGAAGACTCGCCAACATAGTTTTGGAACTTGCACGTTCCAATATTTGCCATTTTGGTCAGAAATTGGCTCAGAAATCGGCTGGAACAATGTGTCAACAGGCTCTAACAGAAGGAAGACTCGCCGACGTAATTCCCAAGCTTCCCCGTTCAAAGATTATCCATTTTGGTCAGAAATTGGCTCAGAAATCGGCTGGAGCAATGTGTCAACTGGGTATAACAGAAGGAAGACTCGCCAACATAGTTTTGGAACTTGCACGTTCCAATATTTGCCATTTTGGTCAGAAATTGGCTCAGAAATCGGCTGGAACAATGTTTCAACGGGCTTTAACAGAAGGAAGATTCGCCGACGTAATTCTGGAACTTGCACGTTCCAATATTATCCATTTTGGTCAGAAATTGGCTCAGAAATCGGCTGGAACAATGTGTCAACAGGCTCTAACAGAAGGAAGACTCGCCGACGTAATTCCCAAGCTTCCCCGTTCAAAGATTATCCATTTTGGTCAGAAATTGGCTCAGAAATCGGCTGGAGCGATGTTTCAACGAGCCTAACAGAAGGAAGACTCGCCGACGTAATTCCCAAGCTTCCCCGTTCAAAGATTATCCATTTTGGTCAGAAATTGGCTCAGAAATCGGCTGGAGCAATGTGTCAACTGGGTATAACAGAAGGAAGACTCGCCAACATAGTTTTGGAACTTGCACGTTCCAATATTTGCCATTTTGGTCAGAAATTGGCTCAGAAATCGGCTGGAACAATGTTTCAACAGGCTCTAACAGAAGGAAGACTCGCCGACGTAATTCTGGAACTTGCACGTTCCAATATTATCCATTTTGGTCAGAAATTGGCTCAGAAATCGGCTGGAACAATGTGTCAACAGGCTCTAACAGAAGGAAGACTCGCCGACGTAATTCCCAAGCTTCCCCGTTCAAAGATTATCCATTTTGGTCAGAAATTGGCTCAGAAATCGGCTGGAACAATGTTTCAACAGGCTCTAACAGAAGGAAGACTCGCCGACGTAATTCTGGAACTTGCACGTTCCAATATTATCCATTTTGGTCAGAAATTGGCTCAGAAATCGGCTGGAACAATGTGTCAACAGGCTCTAACAGAAGGAAGACTCGCCGACGTAATTCTGGAACTTGCACGTTCCAATATTATCCATTTTGGTCAGAAATTGGCTCAGAAATCGGCTGGAACAATGTGTCAACAGGCTCTAACAGAAGGAAGACTCGCCGACGTAATTCCCAAGCTTCCCCGTTCAAAGATTATCCATTTTGGTCAGAAATTGGCTCAGAAATCGGCTGGAGCAATGTGTCAACTGGGTATAACAGAAGGAAGACTCGCCAACATAGTTTTGGAACTTGCACGTTCCAATATTTGCCATTTTGGTCAGAAATTGGCTCAGAAATCGGCTGGAACAATGTGTCAACAGGCTCTAACAGAAGGAAGACTCGCCGACGTAATTCTGGAACTTGCACGTTCCAATATTATCCATTTTGGTCAGAAATTGGCTCAGAAATCGGCTGGAACAATGTGTCAACAGGCTCTAACAGAAGGAAGACTCGCCGACGTAATTCCCAAGCTTCCCCGTTCAAAGATTATCCATTTTGGTCAGAAATTGGCTCAGAAATCGGCTGGAGCAATGTGTCAACTGGGTAGAA